AATGATCATAGAGGATTGTCTTTTCTACTTGATTAATTCAAGAAAGAAAGTCACCAGATGGCTCAAACTGTATTTCTGGATGCAGATCAATGAAATAACAGTCTCTGTCCATATGATCAGATTTGAGGTCAGATCAGGTTCACTACAGTTAGGTATTTATTTTAGGGAGTAGCTGGAAGACATGGCCCCTGAACAGAACTCACCACACTTATATCTTTTGCAGGCACACTGGTTTTGTGGGTCAGACAGAAAGGTCCGGTCCAGCTGGGCAGCTTCACCCTGCAGAATAAAGAGAATCAAGTCGTCATAAATGTAGCTTTTTGTGAACAACAAACTACAACTAGAGGCACATGTCCACAGATATTCAAATGTTTCTTCGGCTCTGCAGAACACATTTTCATAAGATGCATAGTTCAGATCAGATCCAGAGCGTGTTGTGCATTAAAGATATGTATAGGCTTTGAGGACAGTGAGGTATTTGCAGTTAAAGTATCTGCTTGATAGTCAACCATTCAAGAAGTCCAAGTCTGGTTTTGTCTGTCTTGGAGTGTACATAGCTGACACTGATTATACGTTATATGTTTTTCTCTCCTTGCCTACACAAATTAAACACATTTTTGAGTAATGGGTGCCACACCTTTCTGTGGCTGCTAAAGTTATTGTAATCAAAATGAATATCTTCCCACCCTTCTTACTGTATAGCTATTTCAACATGTTCCAAACTTTCACCCTTTGTTTTTTTCCATTAGGTCAATTTTCTGATTCAGGTTTTTTTAATCAATAAACTACTTAGGCTGTGCAATCAAGTCTTCCAGAAGCCCAAAGATATGGTTGGAACTGCCTTACCTAAACTTTTATACTTTTAGTGGGCAACACCTGAACAAATCTGAAGTATTCATTCATTCATTCAACCTTTATTTATATAGGTTAATCCTATTGAGCCTCAGGGCCTCATTTACAAGAGAGACCTGGTTTGGGTTCAGTATGAGGAGACTGACTTCAAAACAAGATTATAGGAGTAAATTCTGCATTAAAAGATTTACAGTAATTGCCGTTGTATAAGCCACTACTTTTGTCTCACACTTTGTACCCTGCGGTTTTATGCAGGAGCATCGTATTTGTGTCCAACATTTTTCAGTCAGGTCATCTGGACAGTTTCTTTTTTTGTGCTGAAACGTTTCGCCATCGCTCCGGAAGGCTTCTTCAGCCAAGGAAACACACAACACAAAACTTATTCTTCCCCCAACAAACCAGTTATGTTGATGCTAATATGGTCTCTTCGTCATGCCCTCTTCCTTGTTGACAGTCGTGTCAAACTGGTTGAAAACAACAAAGTCCATACTCAATAATACAGGTATATAACCCAACATTTTTCAGTCAGGTCATCTGGACAGTTTTTTCTTTTTTCTGCTGAAGCGTTTCACCTTTGATCCAGAAGGCTTCATCCAGTTGACCTGACTGAAAATGTTGGATTGTATACCTGAATTAGTGAGCATGGACTTTGTTGTTGTATTTATGCATTTCTTCATAATTTTAAAAATGTATATTTTGACATTTATTTTGAAGATCTTCTTGCCATCAACTAGCATTTTCCTTTGACAGAGCTGGGCCCTCATGGCTCCCAGCACCACACCTTTCATTGGGGCAGGCATTTGTGATATAAAGAGAATGCCCACAGGTAATCAGATGTACAAGGTCTTTTGCTCACGGTTTCAAATTCCCAACCGTAACTCCACCCACTCTGTCATCATGTGACCAGAAGTCTAACCTGGATAATCAATGAGGTACTCTTGAAGACCATCCCCCCCAAGATAAACATGAAATAATTTTTTCAGATAGTTCCTGTGTTGTTACCAGATTTTGCGCTTCATGAACAAACCTGTTCATTTGTTCAGCAATAATGGAAAATGCACGGAGAATTGCTTATGACGTAGCTTTTATGATAAAAGTGAAGGGCTGAAGAGGAGGAAACAGCTGCATGCTGTATCAATATGTGTCGATGGTCAGGATTGGAGACACAAAAGCAGTCAAGTCCGGTACATGTTTTAATAAAAGTTTTAACATTCTTTTTGTGTGACATCTTTCAGTGTCGGTAAATATGCATTTAAATACCATGATCTCATTTTAAAGTCACATCTGAACATGAGGCGGAGAAACAGAAAGGAGTCTTTCCCTCCTCCCTTTCAGTCATGAGAGCACAGTGGTGGAGATGTCATCAGACTTATTTTTAAAGCAGTCAGTCAAGATATATTTAAATAAAAGTTAAAAAAAAACTTTCTGTTTACAGTCGAAATGTGTTTAAATCCCAGTATCTCATTTAAGCTTAAACAGGGGCATTAAACAGAACTGAGGAGATGTTGGGGAGGGAGGGGCTCTGCCCTGTCCTCCGTCCTGCTCATATGAGCTCTTTGCTAAGCAGAAATCATGTTAAATTTATTTAGAAAGTACATTTAACAACAGCAGTTGTTATCAAAAGTGTTTACCAATAAAAATCAATGGTACTAATATTTACCAGTACCATCTGACTTATGGTCACATGACCTAAATAAGTTACATAGGTGTTCGGCAGTGCTCTGTCCAGTGATTATGCAGATAGTTATTGTATTCATTTTGAAGGTATAATGGTTGTAACCATAAGTCAGACAGTGAAGCTTCATGATGATCTTGGAGTCTGAGTGTGTGTTGTAAGCAAACAACATTCTATATTTGAGGGCAGCTGTGGCTGAGAGGTTAGAGCAGTCATCTTCCAATGCAAGAGTTGGGGGTTCAAATCTACCAGCAGTCATGCCAAAGTGTCCCCTGGGCATGACACTGAACCCCTCATTGCTTCTGATGTGTGTCCCATTGGTGTATAAATGTGATGAAAGATGGCCACGCTCAAAGCAGTTGGAGCTTCACAGGCTCCCGGTACCATCCCAGTTTTTAGAAGTTTTGATATTGACTCTGTGCCTGACTCAGCATGATTTATGCGTGTGAACTGTAGCCGAACCGAACTGATGAGAATAGGAGTGGATTTACCACAAAATATAGTAGAAATCAGCAACAAACTCAAAACTACGCTCGGAAGAATGTAGATCTTAAAGTCATCTACCTGGAAGCTGCAGCAGAGGTGTTCCAGCGGGCAGAAGAGGAAGCGCTGCTTCCAGCTCAAGAGGAGAGGGTGCCATGCGGGGGTTATGGTGAGGCTACGAGCTAACACTAAAGCCGGAAAACTCCCGATGCCGTCTCTCTTTCTGTCAAACGTCCGCTCGTTGGACAACAAGATGGATTTACTTGGTCTGAGAGCAAGCGCCTCAGAAGAGATGATGAAGTGGGCGGTGCTTTGACTCACAGAAACGTGGCTTACAAGCGAAACGCCGGATACAGTCTTCCAGCTGGATGACAGACTTTTTTTTCGAGTAGACCGCTGCAGCGAGCTAACAGGGAAATCACGGGGAGGCGGAGTGTGCATTTACGTGAGTAAAAGTTGGTGCACAAACTGTACTGATGTAAAAAGATCATGCTCGAAGGCTTTGGAGCAAATAACAATGAAATGGCGGCCACATTATCTACCCCGCGAGTTCACAGTGACTTTCGTCACAGTTATTTACATTCCTCTGGATGCTAATGCTAATGATGCCTTACAAGAACTTCATGATATAATCAGCTCTTTGCAGAACAAACACCCTGAGGCGCTTTACGTGGTAGCCGGAGACTTTAATCACGTGAAGCTAAAGGACTGTTTCCCAAGCTTTTATCAACATGTGTGCATACCAACACATGGAGACCACACGCTGGACCGTGTTTACACGAACGTAAAAGATGCATACAAAGCCTAACCCCGCCCCCACCTAGGACTGTCAGACCACACGTCAATCTTCCTGGCTCCTGCTTACAGTATATGCCCCCGCTGAGATGCTCCAGACCGGTACAAAAGAAAGTTAAATGTTGGATCCAGGACAGTGGCCTCATACTGGGAGATTGTTTTGATCGAACAGACTGGCAGGTTTTCAGAGAAGTTGCTGAAAATGGAAGATCGCTTGATCTGGACCAATACACATCCTCAGTTCTGGGTTACATTAGTACATGTACTGACACCATCTCCACTATCAGATATATTAAAAGCTACCCAAACAGAAAACCTTGGCTGAATGCAGAGGTGCACACCCTGCTAGAAGCCAGGAACATTCCTTTCAGGTCTGGAAGCTCAGAGGAGCTGAGTAGGACAAGGAAAGAGCTGGTTGCTGGTATTAAGAAGGCCAAGGCCACATATGAAACAGAGGATCGAGGGTCAATTGACCTCGCAAGACCCTCGGAGCATGTGGAGGGGCATTAAGTGCATAATGGATTATAAAGGAAGGAGTGAACAATGCCCCAAAGACCCATCTCTGCCTGATGCCCTCAACAAGTTCTATGCACACTTTGAAGACCTGAACAGACCACCTAGCACCAGACTCACCTCACCACCGGATGAAGAGCTTCTCAGCGTGACCTCAGCTGAAGTAAGGAGTACTTTCAGGAGGATTAATCTGCACAAGGAAACCGGCCCAGACAACATCCCCGGAAAAATGTTGAAAGAATGTGCCGATCAGCTCTGTGAGGTGCTGGCAGACATCTTTAACACCTCACTTACCCTGGAGACAGTTCCCACCAGCCTGAAGACTGCCACCATCATCCCAGTTCCAAAGAGCTCTACATTGACTGGTCTGAATGACTATCGGCCAGTGGTCCTCACCACGATAGTCGCTAAATGCTTAGAAAAACTGGTCTTGACTCACATAAAAACAACCATTAACATCAACAAGGACCCTCATCAGTATGAATACCGCGAGAACCGATCAACAGAAGATGCCATCTCCTCTGTGGTCCACACTGCACTCAACCACCTGGAGCAGAAAAACTCTTATGTCCGTATGCTCTTTGTGGACTTCACATCCGCCTTCAACACCATGATCCCCCAAACACTGATGGACAAACTATCCACACTAGGACTAACCCCCTCCATTTGCAATTGGGTACTATACTTCTTAACAAACAGACCACAGTTAATGAGGATCCACAACTTCTCTTCGTCCACCATAACCCTCAGCACTGGCTCTCCTCAGGGATGTGTGTTGAGCCCCCACCTGTTTACTCTGCTCACGTATGATTGTGCAGCTACCCATCCAGGCTGTCACATTGTAAAGTTTGCAGATGATACAGCGGTGGTGGGATGCATCACAAACAATGATGAATCCAGCTACAGGCAGGAGGTGGAACACCTGGAGAGCTGGTGCAAAGAGAATAACCTTCACATCGACGTGAAGAAGACAAAGGAGATGATTGCGCACTTCAGAAGGAACAAAAACACCTATACCCCCCTGAACATAAGAGGATCTGCAGTGGAAGTGGTCTCCAGCTACAAGTACTTGAGTGTACACAAGAATGACAACCTCAGCTGGAGCAACAACACCACCAGCCTGATCAAGAAAGCTCATCAGAGACTCTACTTCCTCAGACGGCTGAGACGAGCTGGTCTGGGAAGCTCAGTCCTCACCTCCTTCTACAGGTGTGCAGTGGAGAGCATCCTGTGCTCCAGCATCAGCATGTGGCATGGAGGCTGCACAGCTGCAGAAAGAAAAGCTTTGCAGAGAGTGGTGAAGGCTGCACAGAAGACTGTTGGAGTCAGTCTCCCCACCATCACAGACATCTACACCTCCAGATGCAGGAAGAGGGCCACCTGCATCATGAAGGACCCCACTCACCCAGCACACACACTTTTTGCCCCACTCCCCTCAGGAAGAAGGTTGAGGAGCATTAAGTGTAGAACCACTAGACTGAGGAACAGCTTCTACCCTGAGGCTGTTAGACTCATGAATCTCTAACCAGGATAATCACTTTGAAAAATCACATCATGTTGCTGCTGATCTGTTTCATGTTGCTGCTGATCTGTTTCAATGTTGATGTGTTCATGCATGCTCATCAACTCACACAGACTCATGTTCATGTTTGTGCTGATGTTCGACGTAATGTTTTTATGTTATGAGTGCTTAGTGTATTGATTGTTGATGTTTTTCTTAGTTCATATCTTAGATGTTATTACTGTTTTTATTTTACATTTTATTGTTGGATGTAACTGGAAGCCTGTGTACATAATTTCGCTCCACCACATGTACCACATGAGTTGCAAATGACAAAGAAACTCTGACTCTGACTGATCTAAAGCACTGATTAGTCTCTTTAGAATGATTTGTTCAATTAGCTTTGTAGAGATCTAGTAGAGTGTTGTATGAATGGGTAAATGAGGACACAGATTGTTGTGTAAAGTGCTTTGAGTATCTTGATCAGATAGAAAGGTGCTATATAAGTACAGTCCAAATATACATGCTGTGAAAACCAATCTGCTGGCTAGTTCTTGAACTGCAAGAAAGCTGCACATTATGCCGGAGCAGACTGGGTATAGATTCTGAACAGTGGATGCCCACAGCTTAATAACTGGAGAATCTTATTTATGTACAAAATTATGATTTATCTTATATTTAATAAGTGCGGCTTAGACACAGGTGTGTTCTAGAGTCTGAGAATTACGGTACTCAGTACATCAACCGTGCCCATAATGTCAATCACGATTGACCGGTAGATCATTAACTGATCTCTGGTCAATTGTGCGATATGGAGAAAACTTTTTTTAACACAATATTTAAGGTTTAGAAATGCATTAGAAGCATTTCAACTGTTCTTTACAGCAACTACCGTATTTTTTGGCATATAAGTCATGTTTTTTTCCATAAATTACCTGCCCTGTGACTTATAGGCAACATATTTATGTATTTTTTCCCATATTTAGAAAACCAATTTTTGGCTGACTGTTTTCATTCATTCTGATTGAAAAAATTTTTTTGAACAGTATCATTTTCAGCCACTTGATGGCAGTAGAGTAGTAGTAGCAGTATGTCCTGATGTATGCTCAATAATCCAGGTAGAAAAATCTATAAAAGTTAAATTTGGTCCTCTGGACATTCAAAAAACAAAACAAAGCAAAACAACAAAAAATGTAGAAAGGTTTCGTCTTTCATCCGAAAGACTTCTTCAGTCTGAGGTGCTGTATTCAGCTCAGTCTCTTAAATAGCACCTTCTCAGAGTGGATCAACCCGTTTTGCTGCTGACAACCAAAACCAGCTGATCACATGCTCAAGAAGGACCATCAGCCTAACAATGGGTCATTAGCACACTGATGGCTGTTTACTATTCACAGAGGGCTGAGTGATACTAGCAATCACAGCATTGTAAGAGGGGGACAGTTGAACCCAGAGGCCTCCACCCCTGTTTAACGATGGACGATTTCTTTTCACGCAGCACGGTGGTGCAACTGGTAGAGCTGCTGCCTCTCAGCGAGCAGGTCCTTGGTTCAAACCCCGGTCCAGGGGCCTTTCTGGGTGGAGTTTGCATGTTCTCTCCGTGCATGCGTGGGTTTTCTCCGGGTACTCCGGTTTCCTCCCACAGTCCAAAAACATGCATGTTAGGCTGATTGGTAACTCTAAATTGTCCCTAGGTGTGAGTGAGAGAGTGAATGGTTGTTTGTCTCGTTTGTCTCTATGTGGCCCTGTGATGGACTTGCGACCCGTCCAGGGTGTACCCCGCCCCTCGCACAGTGATTGCTGGACATGGGCACCAGCGACCCCCGTGACCCAAAATGGAATAAACGGGTAAAGAAAATGGATGGATGGATGGATTTCTTTTCACAAAGATGGCCTCCTTTACTCCTCTCTCAAACCATCGTTCCTCTCTGTCCAGGATGTGAACATCTTCATCCCTGAAAGAGTGACCGCTGGCCTGGAGATGAGTGTAGACCGCAGAATCCTGGCCTGTTGCTGTTCTGTTCTGGGCCATCCTTTTGGCCAGTGGCTGTTTAGTTTCCCCGATGTAAGACTGATCACAGCCCTCCTGACACTGAACAGCATACACAATATTACTCGGCAAAAACAGATCATGTGATCAGCTGGTTTTGGTTGTCAGCAGCAAAACTGGTTGATCCACTCTGAGAAGGTGCTATTTAAGAGACTGAGCTGAATACAGCACCTCAGACTGAGGAAGTCTTTTGAATGAAAGATGAAACGTTTCTACACTTTTTGTTGTTTTGCTTTGTTTTGTTTTTTGAATGTCCAGAGGACCAGATTTAACTTTTTAAAATATTAGCAGTATGGCATGTCGTTGTATGATGTAATAGATAAACGTGGCTATAATGACAAATTCAAAAAAGTTCAAGACAAAAACAACTGGACTTTATTTATTATGCTTTACTTTATACTGTATTGTTTTTTTCTTGAACTTTTTTGAATTTACCATGTCCTGGATGACTGAGAATGTTCACCAGCTATTAATGACACAATCAACTTGGCAAAGTCCCCCCACCTTCATTCTGCTCGCTGCTTGGAGCAGGTCAAACCAGCTACACTGCCCTGGCAAAATGCAGCTAATTTGACCACTAAAGTGCATTTATTAAGCAAAAGTTCAACTGAGACACACCTTTGCTATAATTTCGAGCAAACAAATATGTTTTAGGTGCTTTTCTTGTTATATCCTTGTTAAAGTCCTCCCGTGCATGCACCCGCAGCTGCCGTTTGGCAGTCCATCGATTTTTGGCACAACACCGGCCCACATTTCCGGGTTCAGCCCACATTTTCGGGTTGTCAGTAGTGACGCGTAACAAAAGCGACGCGTCAGCAGTGATGCATAATAGATGCGACGTATACGGCAAAACGACATATTATGAATTTTTCCACTTTATTAGCCATATTTAGACTGATGTGACTTACAGGACGGAGCGACGTGTAGGGCATAAAATACAGTACAAAGAAAAAAAGCCTTTCATTTCTGGATTATGTGCAGGATTTTAGATCATTCTGAACTGAACATTACAAAGTGTAATTTTTTTTCTTACACTTTTCTATAGCGATGGGATGTAGTGGGGGAGTTTGTTTGTTCACTTGTTTTAAAAATGTGAAATTTAGAAAATAAATGGTTTAAGGGCAGCACAGGTGCTCAGTGGTTAGCACTGTTGTCTCACAGCAAGAAGGTCCTGGGTTCAATCCCTGGTTGGACCTGGTCTTTCTGTGTGGAGTTTGCATGTTCTTCTAGTGGTTACATAGGTTTTCTCCAGGTACTCCAGTTTCCTTTCACAGACCAAAAACATCCATGGGTAACTCTAAATTATCCCTAGGTGAGAGTGAGAGTGAATGGTTTTTTATCTTGTTTGTCTCTATGTGTCCCTGTGATGGACTGGAGACCTGTCCAGGGTGACCCCTGCCTCTCACACAGTGACTGCTGGAAATGGGCACCAGTGACCCCCACGACTCAAAAAGGAAGAAGCGGGTAAAGACAAGATGGATGGTTTAAGAGATGAGCTTCATTTTTTTCCCTTAAAATTTATATCTTAAGAACATTTTCTACAAAACATCATTTGTAACTCATGCTTCACACCAAACCCCCACAAACCTTTTGTTTAGATAAAAATAACATTAGAACAAAATAAGAATATAAATACAAACATCACACAAAAGCTGAATATTAAAGGTCAGGACATACCAGGCCACATTTTGGGGAGATGATCTTTTCACACGAGCACTCTAGAAATAGAAACGTGAAATTTTCACCATCTTGTTTTTAATGTTAAATCTCAACTCTACATTTGAGAGGCAGCAGGCTGAGAGTTGTGAGTCCTACCACAAGTTTGATTGGGACAGCAGCGACTTGGAGCGGACACGGACACCACGGACATCCCAAATGGACAAGTCAGCTGAGGACACCCATAAGGCTGACATACTGCACGCACAAAACAATATCTATTAATGTCGGGACAATCAAACTGAACTAAAAACACATTTATTTAAGACAATGTCTTGGTTTAAAATAATATATAGACCAGAAGACACAAATTTTTAATGGTTTTTGTTTTGGTCTTTAATTTAATAGTGTGTTAGCATGTTAGGTGTTTTATAATAATTTTATGTTAACAATTCATATATCAAAATATTCAGCTCATAAGGACATTCCAGCTATGACTTTTGATGTGTGCAGTTTAAAATATTTAGCTTTTTCTGCCATTTTACTCTCATTTAAAAATGTATGAAGCCCTGTTTAACTCTAAACCTTTTTTCTTTCTCTTTAATAGATTTTA